AAAAACACGGTTGCACCCAACATTGGGTGCCATGGTAGCATGCTCCAGTCATAGTGGCACCCACTGGCTGGTGCCATGGTCGTCAAAGGGTCAAAAGCTTCCTATACGAGTATTATAAAAATGTCAAGAAACTCCATAATGCCCTTCCACCTCTTGCGTGTGAACGATAGCAAGTGCCTTTGAATGAGCTGTCTCCATCTAAGAGATAACGGAGTTTCTCTTCAGTAACAATGTGTTTGTGTTTTGTGTCAGAAACCCTTTTTATGCAACTAATTATCAGCGAGTGAGGGGACTATGATCAATTATTCTAACCCTAAAAGCTTCTGAATTTTGGCGCCCATAATTTTGGGACACCCTGTATATATCTGGAGAGGGCAGGGCTACATAATTCGAGTCACAGACGTCTTTGTCTAATACCTCGAAGAGTTCTAATTCTACCTGATCAAATGCCTTTGTTATACGTAGTGGTTCCGATTATGAGCATAAAGTCACCCCAAAACTAGGCGATTGCTAAATAAAAAGCCAAGCAGATGCATTTTCAGCACCACCATCAGATTCATCGCCTAAATCTCCACAGAAAAACTCCGTGACCTCGTTATGAGTATAGAGGGTAAAGGAATAAGTTTTTTTCGTTGATAAATCCTGTTCGAAGGATGCGCCCCGGCCCTCGACTTCCATTCAGAATCGTAGTGGCGTAATAAGTGCGTATGCGGCTTGTACAATAACTTGCGGTGGCCAGCCGATGTACAAGTCAGTACTTTTATCCTCCCAGCGAGCCTGGGGCAAATTAACCGACCTTGGAGAGATGGAAGGCTTGGTTGGCCCAGGCGGGCATCGATCCGGGATTGGAACCCCTGACAGTGCGTGTGAGTGTGCGTGACTTGCCACTACACCACCTCCGCCCGTTTCGAGTGTACCAACCAAAAATCGCGAATGGAAAACACTCAAGGCAATGTGCCTAACAGATGTGCTGAAAACGTATCTACTCGGCTGATTATTTCTGGATTGCAAAATTTCAAGGGTCCCCTTACACTGATGTAATGCACTGTACTGAGAATGCAGAACAGTGTTGTGTACTTTTGTTGCTATTCCAGTAATTATGATTTGCTTCGACACATCACAATCTCGACGCAAATTTATGAAGATTGTTTCTCTTATGGATATGGTTTCGGAGGAATATGTGTACGTAATGCTCGGTATGCGTGGATTTGGATTTGGTGCGCCTCCTTTCTCGTTTCTTTTCAATTTTTCTTTTTTTTTTGCAGTCATATAGCCTGCTTTCTTTAGGTCAAGTCCCGAGAAATAATGAACGTGAGTGTTCCTGGCAATTAAGTTGATTACTGTATATCTGTAAGATTTAAAAATGGCTTCTCCTAATGAACCCTTCCAAAGCGCATTCTTCGGGAAGCTTTATTAGGATTCCTGAAGAAATTTTTCGATCGCAAAATCTCGGAACATGCCCTACAAGGGTGTGGCGGCAAGCACTGTAGTTGAGAATCATTGGATGGAATCAGGAGTTCAAAAGTCACAATTGAGAAGTACAATATTCTTACAGACTACCTGTATTGGCCCGAGCGTTATGTGGCCTGTCATCTCTTAGAATGCCTAATATAGGAGGCTTTCTAATTGCTTCATTGTCTCCGCATGGACCATGTCCACTGAGATTCTGAGGCATGCGAAAGGTTGTCTCTCCGATGGTTAGAAACGGCGGCATCATACGGAACTCGAACTCGTGCTTATTTTTCTACTCACCATGCTATTTAAGCCTTGGTCCACCGATATCTGTTGACGCTATGCTTCTCAATGGCCTTTCAGCCATTGCTTATCGGCATAAACCTATGCACGCGTTTGTTTGAATTGTAACGACTGGGCCTCAGCCGCTCCAATTGCCCCACGTACAGCCATGTGTCACCGAACCCTACCTTGATGAATGAGAAGAGACAGGCTTGAACATACGTGCTCCCACCTTTCAAAAGAACTTTCTTCAATTAATCCAATTGAATGCCAATTTCAAACACAATTGATAACGCTCGGCCGTCGCATAATATCATCAAGTGTTGCACCGGGTTTGGCAAAAGGACTTTGCAGCAAACATAGCTTAGTAGCAACTGCAGAAAGAGGCTAGCCAGCAAGAGAAGGGTTCATTAAGAATTACCTGTCAAAGTGCTTCTATGGTGGTGTTGTTTGGTGTTTATCGCTGACAATGAATTAGTAGCTGCCAAACCTTATTTCAGGTGATCTAGCAGCTCCAATCAGCACACGTGAGAATTTCCGTCATTTGCTCATTTTTTTCTTGTTGCTACCGTAACTGCAGCGGAACACTGAAAATCGCCTGTTGCATTACAGTAATCAATGGATTGACGCCCTTCTGGGAAGATCTGGATAACAACCATGCCGACGATGCTATTGTAAAAGAGGCAGCTAAACGGATGCTGACGGCAAATTTTATTCAGGCGATTTCCACTGACAAATACGAGATTCACTGAGCTGAATTCCAGGTAGACATAAATGGTGACGACGTCGATCCACGAAAGCTAAAAGATTTTCGAGATAACGTGGTTGCACGAGTTCGCGAAGATCCACTTTATTGTAGCACGCAAGCGTGCTTATCGAATGATGGAAAGGCGGTATGTTAAACAAGATTGAACGGCTTCTCTTTCTTTTTATCGGGCAGTTATATGAATCGGTTTCAAATCCCAAATATCCTGAAAACTAGATTTCTGTTTTTTGAAGACAAAAATTGTATCCAATGTTGCAGTTACTCCTAGAAACAACAAACAGGGCACACGAGGCTGCAAAAGCAGGCTGCGTAATCCTCAAGTGTGTGCGCAGCTCCACTAGAGCTTGTTTTAGATGATTAGATATTTACTCGGTGCGGTAATCGGTCTCTATTACTGAATAATGTGAAGGTTGAGTTATATTCTCAGGTTGGCAAAGTCTGAGTTGAAGGTATCTTTGTATTCATTTAAGAGCAATTCAATGACCACCGGCATTTCAGATGGCGACGTGGGCACGGCACCTTCATGATGTTTTCTATTTGTACGGATTGGCTTTGAATGATTCATTAACAATGGATCCCTTCGGAGGACATGCTAACGTCTCCTTTCTCACAGAAGCGATGAAACGAAGTTTTGTAGGTAAGTAGTCCATCAGTTTTCTGTTTTTAGAGCATTCATGATCGGCTTTTGAGAGGGTTTGTCCACGGTGCATTGTTTGAGCCGTTTTTGTGAGAACCTGATGAAGGCCAGAAGGATGAAGCCTTTTAAGTCTAACGAACGACTACTACACGTACATGATATTCAGCATCACAGCAGCAAGCCCCCCTAAACATGTAGAAGAGCCATCGGGCCCCCTTACTTTTGTCTTGGCACCTCTTTACATGGGCTTGAATGGGGTCGTGAATGTTTCAAGTTCCCCTCATTATCTCCTATCTTGGCTGGAGGTACTGTCTTACAAGCTCTAAAAGCTAGGAAATTGAAAAAAAGTTATGTTCCTCTTTCATTTCACGAAACAATCACTTGCACACTCTTGAGAGAGGGGATTTATGTTAGAGTTGCTGGCTGGTTATTGTATTTTTGAATATACACCATAGATTTCTCCTTGTACCTGCTTCCCTGTAGTTGCTATTGATGAAAAGAGACGAACAGGGGC